GCAAGAGAGGTGGAATGCGAGAGAGGTGGAATGCGAGAGAGATGGAATGCGAGAGAGGTGGAATGCGAGAGAGGTAGAACGAGAGAGAGGTAGAGCGAGAGAGGTAGAATGAGAGGTAGAAAGAGAGGGGTAGAACGAGAGGTTATAGGTAATACATATTTTAAGAAAAAGAGGATAAATAAGTATACAAGATATAATGCCGGGCGTAATGACAGTAGTTTGTAATACATATTGGTAGATAAAAGACTGTTGGGTAGAATTCAAGATGTACATCTTTATAGAGGGGCCACAGATATATCAGATCACATTTTAGTTGTAGCTACAGTGAGAGCAAAAGGTAGATGGGATACAAGGAAAATGGAAGCAGCAGGTAAGAGAGGTGGAAGCTTATAAGCTAAAGGAGGAGGCAGTTAGGGTAAGATATAAACAATTATTGGAGGACAGATGGGCTAGTGAGAGTATAGGCAATTGGGTTAAAGATGTATGGAGTAGGTTTAAGAATGTCATGTTTGAGTGTTCAGCAGAAGTTTGTGGTTACAGGAAAGTGGGTGCGGGAGGGAAGAAGAGTGATTGGTGGAATGATAATGCATAGAAAAAGTTAGCATATGCGAGGTTTTTTACGAAGTGATGTAAGGAGGGAGGAGTATATGGAGAGGAAAAGAGGTTGAGAGATAGGTGAAGCAATGTAAAAACAGAGTAAATGAGAGAGCAGGTGAGATGTTAACAAATTCTGTAGAAAATAAGAAGTTGTTTTAGAGTGAGATTAGTAAGTTGAGGAAGCATAGGGAGCAAATGGATTTGATTGTTAAAAGTAGGAGAGGAGAGTTATTAAATGGAGAGTTAGAAGTATCAGGAAGATGGAAGGAATATTTTGAGGAATTATTAAATGTTGATAAAGATAGGGAAATTATGATTTTGTGTAAAGGGCAAGGAGGAATATAACATCTTGTAGGAGGAGAAGCAAGCTGCGAGTGTAGGGGAAGTTCATGAGGCAGTGGGTAGACTGAAAGGGGGTAAAGCAGCTGGGATTGATGGGATAAAGATAGATATGTTAAAAGGAGGTAGGGACATAGTTTTGGAGTGGTTGGTGCTTTTATTTAATAAATGTATGGAAAAGGGTAAGGTACCTAGGGATTGGCAGAAAGCATGCATAGTTCCTTTGTATAAAGGCAAAGGGGACAAAAGAGAATGCAAAAATTATAGAGGAATAAGTCTGTCGAGTTTCTTCCTCCATAAGCCATGTGTGTCGTAAGATGCGACTAAAATGTTTGGTAGCAAGGGGTTAGAAACCCTTTCTCCTGTATACATTACTAAAGTTAAAAAGAGAAACTTTTGTTTCTCTTTTTGGGCCACCCTGCATCGGTGGGATATGGCCGGTGTGTTGAAAGAAAAGTCTGTTGAGTATACCTGGTAAAGTGTATGGTAGAGTTATTACTGAAAGAATTAAGAGTAAGATGGAGAGTAGGATAGCAGATGAACAAGGAGGCTTTATGAAGGGTATCATTATTATTATAAGCATGGGGAAGCGCTAAACCCGTAGGATTATACAGCACCGGTGGGGATGATGGAAGGTATTCAGGCTTAATTCAGGGAGCTGGAGCACAGATACAATTCCCTAGATCAAGAGCCCCTCACCAGCATCAAGGAACCTCCCTTGAGGGGTTAGGAAGGGTAAAGAGTGTGTAGACCAAGTGTTTACAGTGAAACACATAGGTGAACAGTATTTAGGTAAGGGTAAAGAAATTTTTGTGGCATTTATGGATTTGAAAAAGGCATATAACGAAGTGGATAGGGGGCAATGTGGCAGACGTTGCAAATGTATGGAATAGAAAGTAGGTTACTGAAAGCAGTGAAAAGTTTTTACAAAGATAGCAAGGCTCAGGTTAAAGTATGTAGGAGAGAGGGAGATTACCCAGTAAAAGTAGGCCTTAGACAAGGATGTGTGATGTCACCATGGTTGCTCAGTATATTTATAGATGGAGTTGCAAGAGAAGTGAATGCTTGGTTGTTGGCAAGAGGTTTGGAGTTAAAAGATAAAGAATCCAACATGAAGTGGGAGTTGTCACAGTTGCTCTTTGGTGATGACACTGCTTTTGGGAGATTCTGAAGAGAAGTTGCAGAGGTTGATGGATGAGTTTGGTTGGGTATGTACAGTAGAGTTGCATTATTAGAAGGTTTACTGTAAACCAAGTATACAGAATCACTACTACAAATGCATCACATAATAGTGAATACACTTTGCTGCAAATCAGGCAAATGCACTGTACAGTACAGTGAAAATTAGAGGAAATGCATAACTGAATTGATGCAAGATGTGCAGATTTCCAGTCAGAATGCTAGGTACATCATTCAAGAAAGAAATGATTAGTAGATGAAGTAACCTATTTTCATAGGTACTGTACTAGTTTAAAGCAATAAAAAGAATTATGGTGCATGACATATTAGGCAGGAGTCAAAATAGGTCAGTATTTTTTAGTCTTTGCCCTGGGCAGGTAAACAGTAACTATAATTAGTATTTTTATATAGCTTTGTAATCCATTACCTGTATTGCTTAGCTGCAATAATTTTTTTTATGAACAACGAACACAAATAATGCATGTAAATCCTCCATTTAACGGACTAATAGGAGGGTGCGGGTGGCTGATAATGGCAATTGTGGTGGATATATTTGAGCTTTTTGCCATGATCGTAATAAACAATTCTGTAGCCAACAGACTATTCAATGTTTCCAAATCAACCGACCTAGCAGATTTTGTTCAGTATTTCCCAAGTCCGTTACACCGAGGTTTTACTGCATAGTAGACAGCCATCTTATTACCTTTTCTTGATGCAAACAGCAGATGGAAAAACAAAACACTGCTGACGACTTTAATGTAACTGGTGGCAAGTTAATAACTCACTGCTATTACCACAGTCTGGAGAAAATAATTGTCTACCATAGCCTTTTCCAACCAACCTAAACTTAACATCACTCATAGTAAATCTAATGTCACCTACATGTCTGTAGACATTATGATGTTGAATTCAGTGCTATAACGTCATGCATGAGCAATGAAACTCCTGTCACCCTCCACCCACATCTGATGGCCTTCAGCCCAGATATTCATTATCCTACTGGAATCCTTGCACATCTGTGAGAAATTATAAAAAATCAACACAAACCTCGGAATTTCATATCATATATTGAAAGAGGACCAAGGTGTGGGGTTGTGGCAGTTTCTGAAGCGTTGGTACTGGGGCTTTCTTTCACTGAGTGGCTCATCACTGAGCTTTTTGAATGGTTCATCAGTGCTATAGCTTCAATATTTCTGCCTCAAGTTTGTTATACGTTTCGAAGAATGGAAGCGATCTTCGAGAGCTACAAAACGATGACTCCTGTAACTCGGCGTCTTGCACAAATTGCACAGTGCCTGTCCGGGTAAATCACATTTCACAAAGTGTCATCGAGTCTAGTGTCAGTTTCAGCTTCAAATTCTTTACCTCAATACAATGCTCAAGTCAATCGAATGAGAACATTTTCTTCACATTTCTATCAACTCTTACCTCAATTTTTTGACAAAATGTCAAATCTTCTTTCAAATTTGCATTAATTTCTTAAGTACAGGATCCTATTTTTTAACAGCAAGTTAAAGTAAAATCATTTATGACTGGACGAAAATTACTAATTATGTGATTGGTTTAAAATAAAAATTATGAACAATGGTGATAATACTTGCTGCCTCATCAACTTTCATGGAACATGCCTAAATAATTGACATATATTATCTCTGGCCGTGCTTCTAAGAGCTACCCACAATTCTCTCATGCTCGTATGAAAAAATGACCCTGGGGAACCAAAAAAAACTGAAGACCATTAAAAAAAATCTCACCCATGGTCTGAATGCAAGCAGTGCAAACAGTAACTTTATTTAACCTTCAAGCATGCTAGAGGAATGAATAAGCAATTGGCTGACAAGATGCAACTGGCTGGCATGGATTCTGTATAAACATATATGGTGTTCAGGAATTCGGAGGCAAGCGCAGAGAAGGAATGAAATTATAATTTTCTTTCTGGAGTACACAAGTGCTCTATAACCCATCACAAAATGCTTCATAATACCCAATATCCAAATGGTCTGAGTATTATATAGTGTGACTGGACAAATTTATTTGCTGAAAAGATACCTTGTGAAACCTTCAGTATATAAAAGTTTGGTCATCAACAACAATACCTTCAGTACAACCTCCAGCACACTAAAACTAGGTTAATGCTAGAAAGTTACCAGGAAGATATACAATATCAAACTAACAGTACTGGCTCTAGAGGATTATAATAAACTTTATAAAAGAATTATCAAATAAACACAGGACAATAGGCTAGACATATATGATTTGCCTACGCCTCCACATTAACTGGTCGAGTCCCAAGAAAAACAAGTTGCGTGTTCAATAAAAAACAAGAATCTTCACTTTAAGAATGTGGTAAATGCAGACTAATTCTTGTGTACAAATAGTTATACTGTACAATTATTTTAAACATCAAGAAGACTATCAAAATTAATAGCTACAGTTTCATATCCAATAGAAAAAGAGTAAACAAATCATGTTAATACTTCTAGAAAAACAGCTTTTCAATGATTGCTGGTAAATGTTTCCTCCTCTGGGTCAACCTACCTTGGTGGAAACAACCTACCTTGGTGGGAGACAACCTACCTTGGTGGGAGACAACCTACCTTGGTGGGAGACAACCTACCTTTGTAATAAAAACAAGTGATTGAATATACCCTTCATTTAATCAATGAAATTCTGAAGGCTTGTATATTTCTATACAGAAAGAACTGTCATTTCAACTGAAGCTGAATGACCATTAACCTTGTGCTGCCTAGAGGCCAGACACTGCAGACCTGCATGCTAGTATCTTGAATGCAGGCAACTTATAACTTATAACTAGGGTGAAACAAATTAAATTAATTACAACCTAATTTACAATGTGCTCTAAAGGTATCCCTAATTTCCCTTACCTTGCAAATCTAGCTTAGTGCGAAATACAGATGTAAACCGTTCTTCTTGACAGTCTCCTTCTTCACACAAGTAGTGGTCAGAGCGGAAATGTTTTCGCAATGCATTATAGTCGCTGAAAAGACGATAAAATTACAGAATGTTCATTACATTTACATACAATAAGTTCAAAAATTTCAATGAGGTTAATTTATTCTATCAAACATTTTTTTAGAATATGTTCATAAAGCATATATTAACAACTTGGTTTATGTTCAAGCATTTTCAGTACAGTAATGTACTCCCTCATTCTGACTATCAAGAATAAGTTCACACAATCTGATTTACTGTTTTACAGTAAATGGTTGCCCTGCAGCTGCCTGGCCCCAGGAATGATTACTCATTTCTCGTGCAATGAGTAATCCTCAATGTGACAGTAAAAAGAATGAGAAATAGATCATTACAGCTAAATAAAACAAAGTCCTTTGCTCTTTCTCATTTAGAGCAGCAATCTCCCCAATGCATCTCATCTCATCTCGAACCTGTTCTGTTTGCAGATGACATGACGTTTCTCTAACTCAAATTCAACTACTCAGTGACACTGCTAATGATGAGCTCCCAAAAATAGTTTAATATTGACAAAATTTACTACATGTTTGGAAACAGAGCTTCAAATATCCAACTAAGCATATCGATCAACAGTTCTCCTATTTTAAGGCACATACAGCAAAAAAAAACACAGACACAACACAAGACAAAACCCTCAGATATCCCCAATGTCCAATTCAACCTATGCAAAACTCAATTTGCTTAAAAGGCCCTAAGATCTAGAAATTAATGATAGCATCAAAAAGGCCCACCCATTTGCCAATAGACTTGGAGCTAATGTTAATAAGTACCTCATCTCCCTAACATTACTAAACCAGTAACATGCTATGTCAAGGAAAATCAGCTCATTCAACTTTGCCCCTTTACTTCTTCTAGTCTTTCTCCAACTATCATAGAAAATTAAATACTTATCTTATCCCATTATATTTCTACTGTAACTAGGTAACTTCCAGTATCTTCATCTCTATTCAATCACTATGAAACTGAAGATGTTGAATCAGTTTGAAATTATAAATTGTACTTTCATTACTGTACCTCTTGTACATTAGATACCTTTTTTTTTTCAACACGCCAGCTGTTTCCGGCCGAAGCAGGGGTGACCCAAAATAGAAACACTTCCACCATCATTCACACATAATCACTGTCTTTGCAGAGGTACCCAGTTATAATAGTTTAGATGCCACTCCAAGCAATATCCCAAACCCCTCCTTCAAAGTGCAAGCATTGTACTAACCACCTCCAGGACTCAAGTCCAGCTAACTGGTTTCCCTGAATCCATTCACAAAATATTATCTAGCTCACACACCAACAGCTCGTCAACTCCCAAAAACCATTCGTCTCCATTCACTTCTATCTAACATGCATGACATTAGAGGATAGGAGGGACATTATAACATAAAATACCAAGAGGAATTGACAAGGTGGACAGGGCTCAAATGTTTCAGTGATGGGATACAGGAACAAGGGGCCACAATTTGAAGCTGAACCCAGACGAGTCATAGGGATGTTAGGAAGCATTTCTTTAGCCTTAGAGTTGTCAGGAAGTGGAATAATCTGGAGAGTGAAGTAGAAGCAAGTTCCATACATAGCTTAAAGAAGAGTTATGATAAAGCTCATGGAGCAGGGAGAGTGTGACTTAGTATCAACCAGTGAAGAGGTGGGGCCAGGAGCTATGACTCAACCCCTGCAACCACATAGGTGAGTACTCTCTCATTTGCTATCCTTTTACATTCTTTCATTCATTCTTAATCTTTCTTTTTCTATCCATATACTCCCTTATCACTTTATTTTATAAAACCTCAGATATACTAATTTTTTCTCTTACTACAGGCCCGCCATCACAAATCCGGCAATCAGTTATTCGGCACTAATTTCAGCTCGCATAATTTCAAATTTCCAGGGTCCACACACTAACCTGCTGGTACTGTTTGGTGGCGCTACTTGCTGCACAAGTCATTCTATTTTCTTTTTTCTCCATTTATTGTTATAACATGCTTACTTTTATCCCTAGCCATGGTTCCAATGAATAAAAGAAATGCTTTTCGTTGTGTAAAGCACCTACACAGTACATTGTCCATTAAAGATAAGGTGGCTTTGAAGCCACTGTCAGTTGCTATGAGCTCAGTCTCGTGATGCAGGAGAATATGCTTTATTACTACGCTAATATCAACACTACAGCTTATTGCCTATCACAATTGATCTAATATGACATAAACAATATAAATAACATAAAACATGTTAAATATTCCAGAATGAATAATATTTGGCATAATACCGAGCAGTTCGACAGAGATATGAAGAGGATACCAGATACAAGTACCATTCTCCTATCCCTGTCTTAGGGCTTTTATTAGAGAAAACGGAGTGTAGCACAGGGCTAACTGTGATATACACTCGTACTGCACCATAAACATGAAACAAAAAAGCTATTTTCTCTATACAGATTACCCCACACAACAGCATATGTGTAGAGAACCTAGGATAACCCAAAAAAGTCAGACAACATGGCTTATTTCTAGTACCTGGCTTGGGTTAGCCATATATGATTTTTGGTAAATATTCAATTCCCAGCCAGGGTAGAAACACTGGGCGTTTCTTTACACTTGTTGTCTATGTTCACCCATCAGTAAATGGGTACCTGGGTGTTAGTCAACTGGTGTGGGTGTTATCCTGGGACACTGACCTAATTTGCTTGAAATACTCAGCATAACAAGCGGCTTTCTATATAGTAGTATGTCACTGATGTCAGCTATGTCTGTATCCCATGTACATGTACATGAAGTAAATTATTATTATAGTATTATTACTATTGTTATTTTCTCATTTGTTTGTTGGGTTATCTTATTGAAACTTGGGCAATGTATGATGGAAACATACTTCTTAATGTACACCAAAAAAAGAAAGAAATCAGACAATAAATAGCGGAGTTCACTTCTCAGCCATTAGTGGCCACTTAGCAGTATATTTTTGTATGTTTTTTATGGTTGTATTCTCGTTTTTTTCGGTCTCATTTGATAGAATGGAAGATATATTACAGAAATAGATATGATTTTGATTGCTTACATGATGAAAAGTACCTTGAAACTGCGCTCACAGTAGCAGAAAAGTTCTATTCTTTAGCGATGCTCAAGTAAACAAATGACGTCACTGTCCAATACCTGTCCGCCTGCCAGTCCAAATTCCAATACGCAGTCAAAAATGGGTTGACATTATTTATACAATTACAATAATGCAGTAGTATGCATAACAGTAAATCTTCTATTTTTTTGTGTGAATAAAAATTCCAAATGAAAAGCAAGAGTAATATAAGAGGGGCCTGGAACCATGACTAATGAACAGAGAAAATGTTATTTTAGTGCCAGGAATGTCTGCATTGACTATTCTGGACCCTATTTTGAAATTGGCATCTGTCAAATTGGCCAAATTGCAAATTTCTGACCACTTTATTGGGTAGTTGAAATAGGGAAATGGGCGGTTTCTTGTATTCAGTCGACAGACTAGAAATAAGTTTTTTCAGGTACTATACACAAATACAGTTACATAGACTATCATACATAGCAGCATATGTAGAGAGAATGTAGGATAACCCAAAAAAGTCAAAGTGACTTATTTCCAGTACCTGGCTTGGGTTTGCCATGATTTTTTGGTAAATATTGTTTTTTCTCAGTTGTTTGTTGGGCTATCTCATTGAAACTTGGGCGATGTATGATTTAAAGATGCTTCTTAACGCACACCAAAAATAAAAAAGGTGGACGATAAATAAGGGTGTTCACTTCTCAGCCATTAGCCGCCTCTTTGTGGTATATTTTCGTATGGTTTTTATGGTTGTATTCTCATTTTTTTGGTCTCATTTGACAGAATGGAAGAAATATTACAGAAATAGACATGATTTTGATTGCTTTCATGATGAAAAGTACCTTGAAATTGAGCTCAAAGTAGCGGAAATGTTCGATTTTTGCCGATGTTCAATGAACTTTGTGCAAGTCAAGTTGGTTAATTTTATTAAGTATATGTAGACAGCCTGTACTGTCAGAGCACACAGCCTAGCCGTCTGCTCTGACTAGTTCATATTTCGCGGCATTCAGTGCTGCCCTCTGTAGGCCTACCTAGGTCGGTGGGACGCACAGTCCACCCTCTCTCACTCCTGGACCGTCCGACTTGACGTACACAAGTACTCCCCCTCCACGGACTGGCTTGCGGTCACTCCCTCACACTGCCCGTTGTGTACTCACTCCTACCCGATTAAAGCCAATCTAGTCCACGGCCGTATCATTGCTACCTACGCTACCTTCATCGGCACTAAACCGCTGTTCAGCAGCAAGAACAGTAATAACAGTGGTGACAGCGGTGCTTGCAGCAGTTGTGTTTGCCTGGAGAGAAGGAGGAAGAGGCATGAAGTCACACTTCATCACCCTACACAAGAAGCATCCGTCTCTCAACGAGTTATCCTGATGTCGTGTCTGCACGTTTGAGCATCCAGACACAGGTACAAGCAGGATCCAGCCGAAATTTGCCGAAATTCTCCGAGAATTGTGAGTGGCGTCCCAGTGACTCCACGCTACAGTGTCCCACGCTGTTTCCCAAGTCACGTGTTCAGCGTCACTTGTATGTTGCTGTTGTTGTTCAGCTCAGCACAGCTGTTTCAGCAAGCCAGAGGTGAGTTTTGTGGTGATTTCTGCGTCCAGTGTGAGCTTCTCCACGTGTTTGTGGGTGGGGGAGGAGAGGAGAGGAAGTGGCTGTTCCTCACCTTGCCCATGCTCGCCCTACTCACGCTCACCCGTCTTCCATACCAGTAGTAGTGGGAGAAGGGATAGACGGTTTGTCCCTAACATTAGTCTGATCGTGGCGTTGCAACGCACGCACCTCCAGCTCTGCTTCGGCCTGCATATGGTCCACATACTTCATGTGATCAAGGTGGGCTTCCTTGATAGTTCCCGTAGCAATCTCCCTCACCTCGAACTTATTGCCACGGAGCTGTCGTAGGACACGGTAAGGACCCACAAACTTTGGGACAAGTTTGTGCATACCTGGGGTCTGCACTGGGTTGAGCAACATAACTTTGCAACCAGGTTCCACTTTGCTTTCCTTAGCTCGCTCACTGCAGTCTGGTGTATGATGTTACGACTCCCAGATGTTTCGCCCAGTCGTCTCTGCCACGACTCGCTCCACAACTCACTCTCACAGCGGCCTGGCATCAAGACACAAGTACTCTCATCTCTCTCTCGCGGGCATGGCCCTGCCCGGGCCATGGGCACAAACACACAAGCCTGTGTAACCCACCACTACTTATCAATAAAGTAAGAAGCCTCCGAAGACGTATATCATTAACACCGCTCTACAGTCTACCAAATAATCCTTTCATTATAACCTAACCATTCTAATCCGGCAAACTCAGTAATCTGGCACACTAGAGGTCCCAATGATGCCGGATTTGTGATGGAGGACCTGTACTCTCTACCTCATTATTCCACCAATTGCTCCTCTTCCCTCCCACAACCCACCTTTCTATATTCACAAACTTCCGCTGAACACTTAACACTGCATTCTTAGATCTATTCCATACTCTTCACACTCAATGCCTCTACTCTCACTAGCTTTCTTTTTTTTTTTAACAAAAGTTGCTTATATCCTACCCTAACTGCCTCCTCTAGTTTATAAACCTTCAAACTTTTACTTTCTGATACCATTCTCCTTGTACCCCATCTACCTTTTACTCTCATTGTAGCTACAACTAAAAAATTATCTTATACATTAGTTACCCCCCTTTTATCCACCAATACACAGTCCAACAAACTGTCAGTACACCTTATAAAATATCTTGTATACTTATCCTTTTTTTCCTTAAAATATTTTGCTTAGTATGTTAATAAAATCATATAAAACAAAAAATCTATGAAAAATTGGAGACTAAAAAATGAACGAGTGTTAGTGAGCACAGAAACCGGCAGAGGTGGCCTATAGCTCAGGAACAATGATAGACAGGTCCTGGATGAGCACACACTGGCCCATACCAGACAAGTGTGGAAATTGTCAGACTTGGGTCCAATGATTCAGAAGACAATAGTACACTATTGCTACAAACAGTATCTGGAATTATGAACTTTTTAATGATGATGAAAGCATTTTCTTTTTGGGGATTTTCTTTCTTTTTTGGGTCACCCTGCCTCGGTGGGAGACGGCCGACTTGTTAAAAAAAAAAAATGATGAACTTTTTTTTCCATTTTGTCTGATGACTCAGTTTGTTTAGCCAGTGTTATTGTCTGTAATTTTCAAAATACATATAGCTTCTCCTCACTTAGCAACGCACTCGTTTACCGACCACTCGGACTTGCGACCAGCTCTCCAACCAGTATGCAAACCTATGTATATTAGAGCTGATTTCCTCTATTCTGTTTATTACAGTATACAGTTCACCACTGTATAAACATTTGAAAATATACTAAAAATGTTACAAATGGTACAAAGGTGACATTAAGAAAATTATCTAAAAATGGTTGACAAGCCCACTACCAGTACAGTATGCTCCTTGCTTAACGACCAATTCACTTACCGAACTACTCTTAGGAACAGAGCCCTATCGTTAAGTGAGGAGAGGCTATACACTAAATGGGGTTTCTATTCATTAGAAGTTTCACTGTATTTTTTAATAAACAATGAATGATTTTTTATGAAACTACAAATTTTGAAGAAATGAGTCAATTTTAATTTCAGATATGTAATCAGTATACCTTAGCAGTGCTTACCTCAGTGGTCCAGTGTCATTAAACTTCAAATGAGTTGGTAGGGTAGGGCAATGTGAATAAAGTGTGTGCTATTCAGTGCATCAGATTAGGCACTCATAGGTCTGACTAGTAACTGCATCAACAGTTATACTCTTAGCTAGGGAGGACTTTGATATGCCAATGAAGTGCTTGCTGCCACCACCATGGCACACCATAACATACCACAATAAAAAATGCTTGAATTCTTTTTTTTTTTTTTTTAACTTACTCATAATACTGATGCAAGCCATCAGCATCACAGAAGTGGCAGAAGAAATGATCGCGCCGCAAGTGACGAAATAGGTCATCATTGTCCATGAATCTTGCATCACAAAATTCACAAAGTGGGTGACCACGGTGGCTTCTGTCATCAGTATCACCCTTACGTCTGTGCTGAGCTAACTGCGATCGAGTATATGAGCGACGTTCATGAGTGAATATCTGTAAGGAAAGGAGTATCTTTTTTACACATACACTTTGGTGGGGGGGGGGGGGGAAAGATAGCCACTAACATACTACTTATTGTCATTTAACTATTTGAGGGTCCAAGCCATAGATTTACGTTATGAGCTCGGCTCACTCAGCTAAGCTGTGAATGGTAAATTTGGGCCTAGATATGAGAAAATGGATCTATGTGGTAAGTGTGCACCATATAAAAAAAATTCTGCAGCATGCAGTGTATAATGAGGAAAAAAAAAATGACTGTTTTTGGATTAAAACACCAACTTTGTGGTGTATTTTTGTATGGTTTTTAGAGACATATTTGTGATTTCTTTATCTCATTTGATAGAACAGAAGGTAGTACAGTATATTACAAAAATAGAGATGATTTTGACTGGTTTTAGGACTGAAAATAGCTTGAAATTGAGCTCAAAATAGCGGAAATGTTCGATTTTTGACAATGTTCAAGAGTAAATAAATGAAGTCACACGTCCAATACACGTCAACTGGTGGGGCTAATATACATTCACGAATGGGCTGATATTATTTATACAATTACTACAATATTGCATAACAGTAAATCTTCCATTTTTTTTTTTTTGGTGTGAATAAAAATTCTTTGTGTAAATACATATAGCCTCTCCTCACTTAGCGACGTACTCGTTTACTGATGCCTCAAACTTACAACAGGCTCTCTGACCAGTATTCATACCTAAATAATGTATGTTAGAACTGATTTCCTCTGTTCTGTTTATGTCAATATACAGTACACTACTGTATAAACATTTAAAAATATACCAGAAATGTTATGAATGGTGCAAAGGTGACATTAAAACAATATCAAAGATGGCTGACACAAACCCACCACCATTACAGTATGCTCCTCACTTAGCCACGAATTCGTTTACTGATGTGGTCTTAGGAACGCAACTCCGTCGTTAAGTGACGAGAGGCTGTATATTATCAGGTATCTCACTGTCCTCTGCTTCATATTTAGGAATGAGAAGTTCCCAGTAACTTAAATGCTTTACTGGCTTTATAAGGGCTACAAATGATCTTTGTATCTGTCCCATCTCTGATCTCTCTCCTACCCTGAAAGCTGTCACAGACACTGAACAATGGGTCCTAGTTTTTTTTTTTTCGTCACTAACCGAAATTCCACCAAGTGAACTTTCATTAAGGAGGGATGACATTATTATTATTATACTTTAACAAGCGTACGAATACTGAGCTATAAGCAAAGCAATGAGCAAAAACTATCTAGAACAAAAGAGAATAGTAATTTTAGTTAACTATTTTGTTTGCTTTAAGAATTATACATATATATCAGTACAAATAGGCTGGACAAAGTTATCTTAAGTGTTCGTGGGCCTCCACAGTGAAGTAACCCAAATGTGATAAATGTAATATACGTGTATATATTCTATCTTCTGAGTTCTCTTTGCAATAGCAATTAATAATTACATATGCTACTGTTTCTCATAAAATATGCTACTGTTTCTCATAAAATACCATGAACAAATGAATAACAGCAAAGATAAAACCAAGTCATCTAACTGTGCAGATAGTTTAATCAAGCCTCAGTCAAACAATTGAGAAATAATCAAGCTTCAGATATACTGAGTCAAAATGCACAGTTTCTAAAACTGCACAAGACAGAAACAGATTAACATATCCATACCTTGAGGTGCTCCACACACAGTTCACAGTAGAAGCGTTCATGAAACTTTCTCATGTGGTCCTTAAGCAGAGTGAAATTTCGAAAAGTGGGGTGGTCATCACAGACAAGGCACGTGTGCAGCAGCAAAGAGTCATACGCTCTCATAGCTGTCTCGTTTTCAAAAAATATAGCATAGCGCCGTTCAAAGAGCATGTTTCGGGTCCGGATATCTGCAAATGCTGTCACTGTATGTGTGAACACTACCTGTTGAAGTAAAAATTACAGATTATCTTTGAAACCCTATCCTCCAAACAAACAATGCAATTATTTTTTGTAAAAAATACAGTACTGTATAATAATGCATGTCATTTTTTGACTGTAGCTATAAAATTAAATATGAAAGGCTAACTGAGAATTAGTCTAAATAGATCAGGAAGTTAGGTGCTTGGACAGATTCAAACAGCATGTCCCTCTAGGCTGACAGATAAACATTATGACCAGTTTTGCCACCAAAGATTCCTTGGTGAGTGGACTAACAATTTTAGATATAACAATGAGAAAACTATCACACTGCCCTCAAAAACATATATCAGCATATTACACTATTTACCTTTAACTATTTATGTAAATAGCCTAAATGCATATTTAAAATCACCATCAAAGACAACTTGCTAAAATTCACAAATAATCATTAGTGCAAGTATATTCTTGACACTTCCTATCTGGAGTCCACCTAGAGTGTGTTCCAAAGGTCAATGCCCTCATTGGTCAGTACCAGACCAAGCTCCTGGGTAGATGACCTGATCAACCAGGTGTTGGTTGTGTTGCGACAAAGTTCAACATAATACACAGCTGGCTGATCAGGAGACTGACTTTAAAATATTCTCCATTCTTTCTTGAAATTTTTTTTTTTTTTTATTATCACACTGGCGATTCCACCTGGGCAGGGTTGCCCCCCCCCCTGAAAAAGAAATAACTTAAAATCCCCCCCCCCCCCCCCCCCCAGTCCCCCACGACATCACACGTCATCCCCCCCCCTGCCCCCCCCCATTTAGAGCTGCCACGTACGTTGCCATAAAGTACGGACCGCGCCCTCTCTACACCAACCGCATCACCAGAACCCCCGTCTGCGTCGTGTGTCATGTCTCGAGATCCTATCTAGACATTGCTCCCACTCACCACAACAACACATACCCACCTAGTCCAGCACGGCCCCCAGGCACTGTCCTCCACGCCTCCAATCTCCCAGCGACCCCTGCACAACGTCCCCCGCGCCCCCCCACTCCGCCCCCCGGCTTTCCCTTCGAACCCCTTCATAAATGTACTTTGCTCACACTTCACAGCACGTAGTACTAAAAACCATTTGTCTCCATTCATTCCTATCAAACACGCTCACGCATTGCCTGCTGGAAGTCCGCAAGCCCTCGCACCAAAAACTCCTTTACCCCTCTCTCCTAACCTTTCACTAGGCCGACCCCTACCCGCCTTCCATGTCACTACAGACTGATACACTCTTGAAGTCATTTCCTGTTTCGATCCTTCTCTCATACATGTCCGAACCACCTCATACAAACCCTTCCTCAGCCCTGTAGGAACAACAGTTTTGGTAATCCCGCACCTCCTCCTAATCTTCCAAATATCGGAATTTCTGCATTATATTCACACCACACATTACCCTCAGACATGGACATTCCACTGCCTCCAGCCTTCTCCTGCTTGCAAACATTCATACCCAGCCCTCCACACCCATTATAAGAGCGTTGGCTAAACTTTTATTACTCTCATACATTCCCTCTTTTGCTTCAAAGGACAAAGTTCTTTGATTCCACAGACTCCTAAGTGACCACTCACTACTTTTCCCCTCATCAATTCTATGATTTCACCTCATCTTTCATAGAACCACTCGCTGAACGTCCACTCCATTATCTGAATTATTCACTCCACTCCCCATACTCTCTGCCCTCAGATCTGATATTCAATCTTTCATCACTAATCTTTTTGTTATCCTCATAACCTTATCTTTCCTGTATCACCTTTAATTTTGCTTCTTTTGCAACCCCTACAATTCATCACCAATCTCTGCAATTCTCTTCAGATCTCCCAAGAGCCACACGTTGTCATCAGCAAAGAGCTGCTGTGTCAAGACTCCAACTATGTGTGAATGATTCTTTATCCTTTTTAACTCCAGCTCTTGACCAAGACCCTCGCATTTATTCTCTTACAACCCCATCTATAAATACAGTTGGACCCCCGCATAGCGAACTTAATCCGATGCAATGATGGCTGGTCGTTATGCGAAAAGTTGCTTATGGAATTAAGTTTCCCATAAGAAATTAATGAAATAAAATTTATCCGTGCAGACACCACAACAAAGTATGAAAAAAATTTTTTTTTACCACAAAAAAATAGTTCAATTTTTAGTACAACAAACTGAAAAAGGCCTCATGCACTATTACATGGGACACTTACTTTTATTGAAGATATGGTGATGATTGATGGGGTGGGAGGAGGGGTGGATAGAGAAGTGTGTTATGTGTTAGAAGGGGAATCCCACTTCCATTAGGAATTGACGGGTAGCTCAAAAAGTCCTTTTCTGGGGTTACTTTCTCCTTCTTTTTTTAAATGCCAACTAGGACCTAGATTCAGCAGTCATGGAACTTAGCTTCTCGCACAACATATCTGTCCATGTGGCCTGTACCTCTCGTTCCTTTATGATTTGTCTAAAGGTTTGGTTTCACATACGGTGTCTTTGTAACAGTCACCAGCACGGCTTGCGCCATAGCTGTGTGAGGTTGGATTTTCAATCAAAAAGAAGAGAACAAAGGTTTGCACTTTCAAGCCATTTTGTAACATTTCCTTAATCTTTGAAGTAGGCAATTCCTTCAATTTCTATCTCCCTTCCTTTGAACCATTTTCCCAAGGTCTGGCCTCTTGCTACTTGAAGTTGATCTATCAGCTCCTCAGTGGTTCGTTCTTACTTTGTCCTCCCCACCTACTCTTCCAACATCCTCCCCCACTAAACCTCAAACCCCAAGTCTTCCCCAATTCCACATTGATTTCCTCAACTGGATACTACTCCTCTCAGGGGTTAGCCTCAAAAACCTTCAAAAATCCCTTTTTGGTCTACACATGTCTGACACAGTTTCTTCAAGCAGAGTTCACGGTTCTCTTAGTCACTCCCTCCACAAGCCTTACCTATAAGGTTTAACACAATTGAGGTTTAAAGTGATCCTTCCAAAACTCTTTAGAGTCAATCGAGTGTCTGGTGAACGTCTCACTTCTAAAGCACTTTTGAAACAGAGCTTTTGTGTACAGTTTCTTGAAGTTTGGAAATGACGCTGCTGGTCCATGGGCTGCAGGAGGGACGGAGTGGTATTAGGAGGCAAAACTACACCTTAATGAAGCTCATGTCCCCATAAAGTCGCTCTGCTACGTCTTGTAGGATGACCAGGGGCATTGTCTAAGCACAGGAGAGGAAGGCACTTAAAGGTCTAATTTCTTTTCAGTTAGGTTAATCTTTTCACAATTGGGGCATAATGCATGGTGTAACCAGTGTATAGCAAGAAATTCCTAGTGAGCCCCTGCTCTATTGTTTGGCCTCTTCTACAGACACACAAAATTATCTGAGGACATTTTTTGTCATTGAACGCGGTCTCGGAGTTTAGAGACGAATAGTGATAGCATGCTAGAACTAGAAAGTGGCTTAACTTTGCAAATCACCATAGAGACATTGGTCATCACATGTCAGATAGACAGAATGTAAGCACTGTCTTTCATAGGCTTGTCATTGGGGAGTGCCTTTTCCTCTGAAGTAATGTAGAGGTCCTGCTTGGCATTTTTTCCTAGAACCAGGCCGGTTGCATCACAATTAAAAACACTTGTCAGGGTCCAGTCCTTCAGTGTTTTCTTGTACTCTTGAATTCCTGCACTATTTTTCAGCAGCTTTGTTGGTCCGAAACTGCAGGCCTCACCATTGCCGTATCCCACTATGGATTGCCATACGCTTCTTAAAATCTCTCAAAACAACCTTTTGCTGGCCTTAATTCACTCACATATCACTAGATTGCAGCTTTTTTTTAATTAAATCGTCATGCATACTTCCTGCCTTTTCACATTGATCGCTTTGTGAGACGTATTCTCCTGCTAGCTGTATATTTTCATTTATCCACACCAATAAGAGTCATCTCGCAACATCTTCTCATCACTTGCGATCCTTGGTTTCGAAAAACACAGTTAAACTTTGGCAACAACCAGCTTCCTTGATTGGTCCGTGTTTCGCTTAGCCACAATAGAAAGCTATGGTTGATGTTTTGGTGTTCGTTGTACAAAACCTGACCAGGTCGGTGATACGTACTCCACACTTTCATACTTATCAATTATCTTTCTTCATTTCAATGGGTTATTTCTTACCCTTTGAGGTGCTTAGGGTGGCATAAAAGCTTTTCTTGGGGCCCATGGTCCAGACTTTATTTTCCACAAACAGCACCGAAAAACCCACTGTAATAATACGAAAATTATTCCGAGTGTATGCTTGATGTTAACGCGGATGGCTGGCTGGTAAACAATGGGTCGGGCGGACATGTGAGGCTGGCTGGAGGGCGCAGATTGTGTCAGATGGGACGCGTCTCGAGACGAAAGTTCCGCTGAGAGCGGTTTTTGTTCCACTAAGCGTACGGCAAAATTTTAGCGAAACAAAGCGTGCGCTATGCGGATTGTTCGCTATGCAAGGCTGGTTCGCTATGCGCGGGGGGGGTCACTGTATATTAATACAACCTTAGGTGAACATCACAATCCCTTGTCTAAGGCTAGCTCTTTACTGGGAAAAAATTTCCCTCTTTCCTATCATAACTCGACGAACTTGAGCCTCACTTATCCTCGTAAAAACTCTTCACTGCTTTCAGTAAAACTACCTCTACACATACACTTGCATAACATCTGCCACATTGCCCCCCTAGCCACTCCTGTCATTCGCCCTCTTTTTCCTAAATACATAAATGCCCCAAGGACCGTCTTTAGGCCTTATCTAAATACGGGTCACTTATATGTTTCACCTTGTACACTAAAACTGGCCACACACCCCCTACATTTCCTAAGCCTCCTTGTTAATCTGCTATCCTATTTCCGCTATCTCTACTTTTAATTCTCTTCGCAATAATAACTCTTTTCATACACTTTACCAGTGTGATCACTCAACAGACTTATCCGCCCTATAATTTTTTTTTGCACTCTCTTTTTTCCCTTTTGCCCTTATATTCAAAGGAAAC